TTAGTACAGTGGTCCCTCGGTTAATGAGCACAATCCGTTCTAGAAGGTTGCTCGTTAACCAAAAAATCGTTAACCGAAACCATTGTTTCAATGGGTTTTTGGGTAATTGCTTCCAGCTCACTGAAAATTGCCTAAATTCAACAAAAAAGGTAGAAAAGTACACTTACTTTGAGATGTGTATGTAGAAGGCTCCTGGATGATGATGATGATGATGGGAATTAAAATGGGGGTGCAGGAGAAGGGAGAAGAGAAGGCATTGGGGTGGAAGAGAAGTCACCCCATGGTGCCATTTCACCCATAAAATTTTAGTTCTCTTGGTGTAATGCAAGATTATTTTCTTTAAATCAACACTGCACTGCATTATATATTGTCAATATGTAAAATAAATTTCAAAATGACAAATAATTTGCTTGCAAACACAGAAAAAATGCATTTAGTTGAAGAGAGCCTCTAGCAAGATGTTACCTCCACTGAAAAGACAGAGAGCCTGGCGCCTGTTTCGTGTGTTGCCAGGCTGGATGGCGCCCATAAACTAGTTTCCTTACCTTCAATTATGTTCAATAATTGTTAAAATGACTAAAAAATTTAATATTTAACTTTTAAAATTATTGAATAGTATAAACTAATTGATATTTACTAAAATGGTAAGGAATATATGCCCTAGAACCGATTACTGTATTGGCAGACTAATACTACAGCTGGTGGACCGCCAAATGCAAGCGAAAACATGTTGAGGTCGGCTCGTAAGAAACTCGTTAATCGAGGGATTGCTCGTTAACCGAAGTTAAGAATCTTATGAAAGGTAACTCGTTAACCGAGGGACCACTGTTTATTGATATACTTCTACTTTGCCTTCAGAGAAAATGTTTGTCCTGGAGAATTTATCAAGATTGTATTTGATGAGTTCAGTGATAAGATATAAAAGCGTACGATATTAACGTCCAACACTAAGGCTGACTTTATGCGTTTGTGGCTTTAAGCATACTTTGTACTTCTATGTCAAAAGCTGCTGCTCAAACTGTCCAATATTTAGGGCTGAGCACAAGTTCTGAAAATGTAAACAGTATATAGTACCAAGAACATCAGAGCACTCTGTATAATTTTTCTTAATAAAGAATAATCTTTTATTGCACATTAGGGGAAAAAATGTAATGATCAATTACTTGTGGTTCAGTTGATACTACAGGGGTATTCCATTCATGTGCACCTAGCATTCACAATAATGCTACATATAAACACTTGGTCATCACTAGACACCAGTGTAAGGAAAAAATTGTGGTAGTGTGAACTAACCTCAAGGTTTATAATTTTGAGATACAAGCAGAGTAGGACTTTTTCACAGTATTGTGTAGTGCCTGAAAATAGAAACTCATGTAACTTTTTTCTCCAAGTCTTTTCCCACTTAATGCAAGATATCCAGAAATGAATAGTAAATACACACACATTTTCCCTTCACTCTTTGTCATTCATGCATTTTTAGTGCTGTAAAGATGTGTTTTGATGTGGTACTTCCCTTCCATGACAAAGCCCCCATTTTTTTTTATCCATCGCTTCACATTAGTCAGCATCCCCCATCAACAATACATATTTCCCGCAAAAATCACTCAACGCCATGCTCTCCACTCATTCACGCATTATCTCCAAAATTATCAGGTGAAACTGTTTCATTTCAGTAGAATGAATAATGAGGGTGCTATTTTTTTACAATGTAATAACCCATTTTTCAACCTTTAAGTTGAAATTTTTACACATTAAATAGAATGGGTGTAGATCCTGTCACTGCTGTTGTGGACAGGCACTCCGAAGACAAGATTTTCCATCACAGAACTTAAGTGTTTTGTGTACTGTACTTCATGGTACATGTGTCATGCTTCTGCAGAAATTTAAAATGATAATAGGTATATTGAATCTTTAGCATGGTTTTTTAAGCTTGCATACAAGTTTTTTTAATAACCAAGGATTCTTTAGAGGTAAGAGAATTGAATTATAGAATACTATTATAAGAATAAGTTATGTTTACTTGTATATTGTCATTAAAACATTTAAGAATGCTTACGTGTTCATGTAGCATGGATAGGAATTATCAGAAATGTCAGGGAATGGTACTGTATGTGATTCCTGGTAAGTCATTGGAAGACATCATAGGTGAGTTGGTTATGCTTTTTGTGTAATCTTGAAAACAATTAGTTGACCAGCCTAGTGGCCATTTTGCTTATATATTAAGTTAAGATGATGTTGACTATCCATTTACAGACTACCTTTACTGCATTTTATTTGTAATTAAAAAAATCATTAGTAGATCTCTTCATAGCATTTTTATTTCAGTTCATTTTCCTGTGTTTATGATTCTCCAGCAATATATATATTTTTTTTTGTCTTTATGACCAATAGAAAAGTTGTATTTCTAGGCTTTGGAGATTCTTTAGGGGAATTGGACTGCTGCTATAGCCAAAGATAAGTTTAGAGTAGGGCAGCTAGGGATATGCTAATGTATACTGTT